CCTGTACACCCGAAAACCACCTCTGCGTCTCACTGTACATCCAAGCCCTCAGCCAGCTATGAAGGCTGGGCTATGGCACTGCCCTCAGCAGCGCCCTTCTTTCACACACGACCGCACGTGTGCAGCACCTTGCTCCAGCGCTAGCAGCCAGCATGCGAGCATGAGCTCCAGCAGCACTGCCGCCAGCCAGCAAGTGCCCCAATAATCCTCCAGGCCACGAGTGCCCCAATAATCCTCCAGGCCACGAGCTCTTTCCTATACAGAAAGAGCCTCTCTGTCTTCACAGCCTGGTTGGCTTGGGCCTGGGCCCAGAAGCTTCCGGTAGGCCCCAGGATGCCACGCCTCTCTTGCAGCTACTGGGCCTCATTCGGTTGGGCCTCCCAACTGTCTGTGTAGGAGGCTGCCATTCTTGTCCAGGGCCTGCATCATTTTGGAAAGGCCTGGAAAGCCGTCAAAAGTCTCGTTGCTCGGCCTGTGTTTTCCTCAACCAACTGGCGCGACGAAACTGCCTGGACCCCAAATACGATATTAACAGCTTCGGGCCTCTAGTGATTTGTCAGGCCCGCCTTCACTTAGGGCAGGCACATCTGCAGCAAGAGGCCCCTTAGGCCTGCCCAGGACCCAGGTCCTCGCACTACCTTTTCCATACAAAAAATCACCCTCATTACTGGCCGCAGCTAAGTACAATATTTTCATTATCTCATGATGTCAACAAGTATTTGTCACCTGTAGACTCATGCTTCCATGTTTAGATGGACAACAAAACAGCAACCCCCACCCCCCCCCACCCCCCCCAATCGAAATTCTATAAATAAATATTGCTGCAGGCATGCCTCTCTTCCTTCCGTCGCATTTTCCAATCATACACTGAGTGCGACTTTAAGACCAGTCCCACTTAGATTGGCAGCAGAGCGAACAAAGGATGGAAGCCTCCAACCCTCCCATCTACTTCCGTGTGGAATCAGAAGGGTCAAGGCATACATTGTTGCGCATTTAGATGCACATACTGGTGACTGAATTTCACAGTACATGCTTGTAATATGCGCAGGTGACTTCCGACTGATGCGCTATATTGTCATCATCCTCGAACGGGAGAGTGTTCTCTCCTCTCGTTCTCTGCGAGAGAAGGAAAAAAAAAAAACATTTACACTTCTGAGGCGGGTACATATCTCCCCCGGCGAATGCATACCTCCCCAACCCTGGAGCCGCAAAGAGTGAAAATAAGTTCCACTTGAATTATTAACCCACCCAAAGGCCAAAAAGAAGACAAAGGCTTGCAAACTCTCTCTCTCTCTCTCTTCCTTGCACACACACGCAAGCAAAGAATAATGCCTCAAACAAGAGAAGTGCTTTTCGATATCACAGGCTGTCATCAGCTTCATTCAGATTACGTATGTAGGTGCACACCTGTGTGTGTGTCATTTTGTTTTCATCCCCTAGAGATAGTTAAGATGATGTATCTTGTTGGTGAATGGACCACGGATCACATATCTCATGTTGGTGAATGAACCACGGATCACAACTCAACTAATCAGACCGTGGGCAATCAAGACTCCCTTCCCCCAAAAAACACGACTTCAAGCAGACAAGGGTTTCCATATTTGCTTCACATTCATTTTGCTAAGAGAAGGCAACGACTTCACAGCATTCACCCTAGCATATATTGTCACATATCTGTCAATGAAAAGAGTGCACTTTGCCACAAAACCGATGAAAATACAGACGACTAACATGAAGAGCACGCTGAAACCATTCTTTTGATTGTACGTAAATCATCTGATGATGGAGTCTCTTTGAGGGGGGGTTAATTTCTTCACCACATGTTCATACCCATTCGCTTTCTAGCGATAGTGAAAGCAGCTTCACCGTACTCACATAGCACATGTGCGTGCCGTTCTGTAGGCCCACCTGGTACCTGTACATCTGGCCACGGTACCTGCTGTAGGCCCACCTGCTGCTTACCTGTTGACAAGCTGAAGCCTGTACGCATCTTTTCTTTTTTCTTCCTTAAAGTACTATCCTGATCATAGTATACTTGATTACCCGGAGACAAAATAAAGACATGAATAATTATACCCACATCGTCTATGATTTTCATTCACATCATCTATGATTGCCCAGAGGCAAAATAACGAGTGAATGAGAGGTTTCATCGAGATCATCAATGATTGATTGATTCACTAAGAAGGCAAAATAACGAGTGAATGAGTTGTTTCATCGAAATCATCAATGATTAACTGATTCACTGAGATGGGCCAAACTAACGACTGAATGATTGATTTGATCCAGATCATCATCTATGATCTGTTACCCTGAAGAGGGAAAATAACGACTGAATGGAAGAATGATTACCCAGAACCAGAAAATGATTACCCAGAACCAGAAAAGCAACATGGAAAAAAATGCGCACAGCTGATGATTACTTGTTCACGTTCGTCATCAAAAAGGGGGATTGGATTTATTTAAAGGGGGTATACTATATGAGAGAGACACCGAGCTAATGGCTCGTCAGCAAAGAGAAGTGAGAATAAGGAGTGGGAAAGAGGCACAGCTGAGAAAATCAGCAAAAATTTCAAAACACAGCCAAAACAAGAAAAACTTCCTGAAAAAAAAAAAAAAAAAAAAAATCCTGGACGACCTGAGGGTAGAGAAAACAAGCAAAGGTTAGCTCGAGAGTGGAGGGGGAGCGCAATGAAGAAAAGTAGAGCAAGTGCGCGCGCGCGCGAGAGAGAGAGAGAGAGAAAGAGCAATGGACAACGGGTCATTCACCAGATTTGTGCAAAGAATGCGCGCGCATGAGAGAGAGAGAGAGAGAGAGAGCAATAGACAACCGGTCATTCACCCAGATAAGAGGGAGCGTCAAAAGAGCGCAAGCGAAG